TCCATTCAGAGTCCCAAGCCAGCTGGGGCTATATAGTGAGACCCTGTCTCAAAATAGATAAATAACGTTGTGGATAAGGTGTGAATAAAACTGTGTAACTATTTAAAAGAGAACATCATTAAACAGAATCTCTGACTAGGACGATGGGAAAGATGGCTTGATGCAAGACCTCAACCATCAAAGGCTCCGATATGAAAAGTGAAAATATATTTGGAAATACAGTCCCTAAATAGTAGTGCCTGAACAGATAGGACAAAGGTAACTGGGTCTAACAGCATCCCTATACAAGCATTTCCCTAGTTAGATTAAATTAAGAAGAAACATAGGCCCGAGGCTCCCGGCAAGCTTGTAGATTAGCTGCTTACAGAAAAGCATAGTTCATTTAGTTGTAGGACAGAAAAGGTCCTGTGATATGGAGCCAGGCAACTGGGAAACTATCAAACCAAGTTTGGATGAGACAGGAGATGACACATTAGTGTTGGCAAGCAGGATTCTTTAAGATCCTCTCTCACTCAGTGTGGTAGTTTGAATGAGATTGTCCCATAGGTTCATATGGTTGAATGGTCAGTCCCAGTTAGTGGAACTGCTTAGGAAGGATTAGGAGGTGTGGCCTTCTTGGAGGAGGTGTGACATCAGGGGTGAGATTTAAGGTTTAAAAACCCCAGGGCCATTTCCCGTTAACTCTCCCCCTGTACCCCATGGCTGTAAGCTCCTAGCTACTGCTCCAGCATCATGCCTGTCTGCCTCCATGCTCCCCACCTTGTTAAACCCTGTCAAGCCCCCATAAACTCTTTCTCCTGTAAGTTGTCTTGGTCATGGTATCTCTTCACAGCAATAAAAAAGTAACTAAGACACTCAATATGTACCAAGACAAGACCTTTGTTGTTGCCTGTGTTTCTCTTAGAAGACTGGGCTTGTTTAAAATACCAGTGCAGACATTTTTCTTGATTCTTTCTTCCCATTAGTCAACCTTCTGGAATATAAACTTAAATGAGAGTACTCAGATAGCCAAGCTCCTGTTAGGACTTCATTATTTGTAGAACATTTTGATTTTGGGGAACCCTAGAAAATATACCTTCATGGGAGCCTTCCTTAATCAAAAAGAACAAAAATCTGTAACTCTGCTGATATAAAAACAGATGGAGAGATGGCTGGAGAGATGGCTCAGTGTCTCTGAGCACGGGCTGCTCTCCCAGAGGACCCAGATTGACTCCCACACCCACATGGCAGCTCACAACGGTCTGTGACTCCACTTTCAGGTGATAGGATGCCTTCTTCTGGCCTCTGTGTACAATGCACACACATGCTGTACAGACATAGAAACAGGCAAACTACTCATACAACTAAAATAAAAATGCACACATGCACACACATATATACATACATACACATACACACACATACATACATACATACAAACATACATATAAACACATATACATACACACACACATACAAACACACACACACATACATACAAACACACACACATACATACTTACATACATACAAACATACATACATACATACATACATACATACATACATACATACATACAATGAGATTTAGGGGGCCTTGGAGATGGCTCAGTGGTTAGGAATGCTAATAGTCTTACTTAGGGCCTCAGTTCATCTCTCATCACTCCTCATGGGCTCTCACAACCGCCTGTAATTCTAGCTTCCAAGGATCTGGTTCTCTCCGGCCTTGGTGGCCATCTATACACACATAGTGCATATAAACTCATGTAGGCAAACACACACATATAAAACTGAAGTGAAATAAACATAATATGATATAAATATATACAGACTTCATTCACTACTACATATTTACTTCATTCTTTGAGTTTTAAAAGGAACCAAGATAAAGCATCTTCAAGTTCCCAAAGGTGTCATGGCCCAGACACTGTGCCCACTGGGCCTAATGGGTATGTCCGACCTGCTGGCTATGGAGCCCTTTCAGGATCACGGGCTTCTCACATCCAAAGTACAGGGGCCCCTTAGTTTCCTTACTGTTGTCTTTCCAAAGCTCTCATGTCATAGGAACATGGCAATTACCTCTCTGAATGTTTTTAACTTCATATTATTAAAGTTAAAGGTAAGAGTTCTTTTTTAATTATGTTCCTTTCTTTATGTTTTTCTTTACTATGTGTGGGTGCGTGTGCAGGTCAAAGTATACATGTGGTTGGTCCTGGGAGCCAAACTCAAGTCATGAGGCTTGACAGCAAGTGAGTAGCCGTCACCCACTGGGCTATCTCAGCAGAACCGTCACCCACTGGGCTATCTCAGCAGCTCCAGCTCTAGCACACCGGGCTCTAGCACAGGGATCTTCACCTGCAGAGCGAGCTCAACAGATGGAAGGAAAAGATTCTTCCACGGTACCTGGGGCCTCCAATCCTTGGCAGTCTCATCGCATTATAGGACAGGATGGCAATTCTATTACTGAGCTAAACACAGACATAAAAACATTTTAAAGCATGAGTCATTTTCAAAGGTTGCATATCAACATGTCCTTGATATTTAAAAAAAATTAATGTAAAAAATGAAAATAAAAGGGTCTGGGGAAATGGCCAGCAGTTAGGAGCACTTGTTATTCTTGCGGGGAACATGAGTTTAGTTCCCAGCACCCAGAAGGGGATGCAAAACCATCTATAACTCAAATCTTAGAGGATCCAATGCCCTCTTCTGACCTCCACGGGCACAGCACATATGTGATATTTGTATACATGCAGCTAAAACACTCAGACACATAAAATAAAAAAATATTTAAAATGAAATAAAAAAATTAACTACACAGACTAACATATTTAGAACTATGTTAGTTTAAAGGATAATAATGGAAAATGAGAAGACATGTTCCTTTCTGTCTATGGTGACGAGAATAAGATACTTCCATAAGTCTCAGGCATTTGCATACTGACTTGGTCCCCATTGGTGACTGTTGGGGAGGATTAGAATGTATGTCCTTGCTGGAGGGAGTACATCATTGGGGGTGGGGGGGTATGGCCTTGTTGGAGTCCCTGGGGAGGGGTGGGGGAGGTATGGCCCCTTGCTGGAGGGACTATGTCACTGGGGTGGGTGGGTGGGGTTATAATCTTGTTGGGGAGAGTCTGTCACTGGGGGGGTTATGGTCTTGGTGGAGGGGTATGTCACCAGGGCTGGGGGGTGGGGGTTATGGCCTTGCTAGAAGGAGTATGTCAGTGGGGGTGGGGGGGAATTTAAGGTTTTAAAAGACTTGTGCCATTTTGAGTTAGCTCTCTGCTTTCTGTTTGGGGTTCAAATGTGAGGTCACAGCAGCCACACTAGCTGTCTGCCACCTGCCACCTCCAATATGTCATCACGGGCCATTCCTATAGGATGGCAATACAAATAAACCCTTTCTTCTATAAGTCACCTTGGCCATGGTGTTTTAGCACAGCTATAGAAGTCCTAACTATACACTAAGCATCACGGGCTGACATTCTTAGAAGCAGTATGACTGTTAAACGCAGTGCCATCTTCAGAACAGTCAAATGAGATCCTCTCCCTCTGCATGCATAAGCATGCTTAATTTATCTCTTTAGAGGGGCAAGGAGTACTTGCTCTTCTGGAAAAACCTTGCCTCAGAAGACCTTTATCATTCAAGAATATAAGGGTGAATTGCCAAGCTGAAGACTAAAGAGAAAAAGAAGAAAGATCGCTCCTCCCCAAGTGGGTTGGGGTTCATGGTTGCAGAGGGTTAGGGTCCATGACCACTGGGCATGGCGGCAGGCAGGCATGGTGCTGGAGCAGCAGCTGAGAACTCAGATCTGCTAGGAGGCACAGAGAGCTGACTGGGAATGGCACGGGCTCCTGGACCCTCAAAGGCCACCCCACAGTGACACACTTCCTCTGACAAGACCACACCTCCTAATCCTTCTCAAACAGTTCCACCGCCATATCCAAACACACAAGTCTAGGGGAACAGTTCTCATCCAAACTACCATACTTTATCACAAATTGTACCCCGAGCTTAAAATGAGATGTGTCGATGGCTTGCTTTTAAAACTCAAGGGCTACTTTACAACTGTACTCCATCCAGTGTAGAAGAAGGGAAACATGTCGTTTACAGTAACTTACAAGGCAGCACATGCCTCTCAAGGTAAGTTAGTATTCAGGGTTTCCATGCCACATAGACTCTCTGTTCTAATTTTTCTTCTTCTCCCTCTTTTCTTCCTCCTCCTCTTATTCCTCCTCTTCTTCCTCCTCCTCCTCCTCTTCCTCCTCCTTCTCTTTCTTTCAGATACCACATAAAATATAAAGGCAGGGCTGGAGAGCTGGCTAAGCAGCTAACACTCTTCCTGCTCTTGCAGAGGACTCAGTGCAGTCCCCAGCACCACAACAACCTGTAACTCAAGCCCCAGAGCTCTGGCGCCCACCCTCTTCTGGATCCCAGAACCACCTGCAAGTGTATACATGGGGCGGGGGCGCCCATGTGCACACATACACACACATACATACACACAGAAAATGAATAAGAATATAGATCTTAAAGCACAATAAAGACTTTCCTTTCTCAGTGGCCACACAGAAGCAGGGCCTGATTTATCCTGAGTAGGTCATGGCTTGTGAAACTCTAAACAAGACGGTAAAAATGAAGTAGAAACAGGGAATATGTGAAATCGACTCATAAAATAATGAAAATTCCAGGAGCAAAATGTAAATATTCATACATCATTAAATATGTCACTCTGTGCTGGAGAGGCGGGTCAGCCACTCTGCGCTGGGGAGGCGGCTCAGCAGCTCGGAGCACTTAGTGCTCTTGCAGAGGACTTGAGGTCTGTTCCCTGAACCCAGGTCAGGCATCCACGACCACCTGTAGCCTCAGTTCCAGGGGACCCAATGTCTCCGGCCTTGGTGAACACTCATACTCACATACACATCCCATCTGTGAGCATGTACACACACACACTAGCACACATACACACACAATTTAAAATAATAAAAATAAATCTAAAAAAAGAGAAAAATCCCCACTTTACCTGAAATTCATCAAAACATAGGAGAGAAGTTTCTTGGCTGATCTCCTCGGCTATGGGAGCTATCGGGTCGTATGACTTAGCCATGAAGCCCACCTTCCTTTTTGGCAAACTCTGTTTAAGGCGATGTATCCCTTAGGTGTTAGAAATAGAACAAAATGCTGTGTTAATAGACATCTTAAGGAACCGCAACATAGTTTTAATCTCTAAATGAAAGTTAACTTGGACATAAAAATTAAGTTTAAATTTCAGATGCAATGGAGTTTAATCACTCCAACTTGATCACTGGAAGGAGCTGCAGTACATCTACTTCAAAACAATTTATTCAAGTATTATAGTCTTTTTTTTTTTTTTTAGGTTTTTTGAGACAGGGTTTCTCTGTGTAGCCCTGGCTGTCCTGGAACTCACTCTGTAGACCAGGCTGGCCTCTAACTCAGAAATCCACCTGCCTCTGCCTCCCAAGTGCTAGGATTAAAGGCGTGCGCCACCACTGCCCGGCAAGTATTATAGTCTTAAAACTGGAATTCAAAGTCACTTGCCTCCTTGTGGGATCAGCTTATGGGCGGCCAGATGCATCCTCGGACCGGATGGTCCTGAGGTTGATGAGGCAGGAAACTGGCCTGGGAAGGGCACATCTCGTCCAGTGTATCCAATCAGAATGCTCTCATCTTCAACCCAAAACTCAAGCCATCCCTGCTTATTCACACTATTCACACCAAACACTGAAAGTACCTGTGTGTGTGTGGTGGGGGGGGGGATGTTCTTATCCTAGGGGTTATAACTGAGAGGCAAACAGCACAGACAGAGAAATAATCTACAAACACTGAGAGACAGGCAAGGCGAGCAAACACACTTGGGTCCCACCAATGGACAGTGATGCAGAAGGACCAGAAATTATATCCAGCTGTCTCAAAATGTAAACAAGAAGCCTGGTGTGGTGGCACACACCTTTTATCTCAGAACTCAGAGACAGAAGCAGGCTGAGTTCAAGGCCGGCCTGGTCTACAGATCAAGTTTCAGGATAGCCAGGGCTACACAGAGAAACCTTATCTCAAACAAACAAAATAAAATAAAATTTAAAACCCAAGAAAGTCAGACAGAAAGACCTGTTAACTATAAAATCTACATGCAAATGCAAACCGAGTGCTCCCAAGACAGGTAAGGCAGTAAGGACCCTCCTTAATCACAAGGAACTTGGTGAAAGAGTAGCGGCTTCACCAAGTTCAACGAGCCTAGCCTCTCTGCTCTAACTCTGGAGGGCCGAATTGGTCTTAAGAATATTCCCTAGACTCCCTCCTTCTTTCCATACACCACGAAACAAAAGATACCAAAGAAAATCTGACTTCAAGCAAAAGCCTCATTGTTGGCTTGTTCTTTTTTTAAAAATTTGTATGTTTATTCACTGCAAAGGAAAATGATTTGGTAGCCGTCGCACTGAGAATTGCTGCTTGGACCCCGTCTTACTTCTGTGCACATCGAGCATGAAGCCGTGGAAGTGGACTCGCTTTTTTCTCTTCATCTCCACATACGCATAAAACATGTCCATCACCATTGTTTTTCCCGTACCTTAAAAATAAAAATAAAAAAAATTTAGGAATACCATTGAACAGCATGCGCTGATTACACTAATGATTGTTCATTAGCTCTGAGATAATGAGACGGCGCTTCCGCTGGGAAGCCAGAGGCTGTAGCTCTGCTCTAAGGGAGGAGGTGCTTGTCTTCCCGGCTAAACTGGCTCTCAAAGCCTGATTGTCTCTTTTTCATCATGTTCCTCTTTGTAGTCAACATTAAGAGGTATGCCCATAGCCTGGCATGACTTACAGGTTGTTCTTCCGTCTTCTCTTCTGGAAGACACTAGAATGGATTGATCTACTGGTGTTACTACACAGTGGGAAATTCAGAAATTAAAAGTAAGGATATCAAGAGAAGGTGGCTGGCAGGATAGCTCAGCAGGTGAGCTTGCAGGCTGCACTCGACTTGCAACCGTCCCAACCTGCATTTGATCACACACACACACACACACACACACACACATGCACACGCGCACACACATACACCACTTCTGCATACACATATATCACAGGCGTGCTTAACAATATAACAATAATACATACAAATAAGTTTTTTAAGGAAGTGAAAAAGTGAAAAGTTAAACAACAAATGCAGAGGAAATGGTCAATTATAATACTTCGTTCTATTTAACACTGAGAACATGCTTTTCAAAACTGAGCGCTACTTCAGAAACTCTGATAATCCGTCTGTAGAATTATCCAGTTTTCACCACTTGAGAATGTTACTCCCTAGAAGTGTGATAGCAGCTGAATGCCAGTCACCTGACACAGGCAAGCACAACACTGTTTCTCTCTTCTCTCCCAGAAAACCTAGCACTCGGGGGACAGAGACAGGGCCGAAAAGTCAGCAAGCCAAACCAGCATGTAGGGATCCTGTCTCCTTCCTCCTCTCCCTCCAACTTCTCCCTCCTCCTCTCTTCTCCTCCCTCTTCCTCCTCTTCTTTTCCCCCACTTCTCTCTTTCGCTCCACCTCTCCCTCTCCTTGCCCCACTCCTACCACATACACACATCAGGAGATACAATTCCTAAAATTCAAAGGCAGCTCAGCCAGCAGGAAGACACAGACTCATCTTAGGGCTTTCCTCCACTCCAGAAAACACCAGGCCCATGCCATTTCAACGTCAGGGGTTTCTGTATGTGAAAATGAAATTCCCAGTCAGGCTTTTCATGAAAAGGCTCACTGAGATTGAAAAGCGACTCTTTGCAAACACTTCAGTCCAGCGCTTCTGGCTAGAACAGCAACAGCGGATTCTCAAGTATTACATTTACCCAAAAGAGTAAAGCAGTAAACTCTCAATTCTACTCATGCAGCACTGATCCAGAAAAGCTCCTGAATAATCTAATCAAAGAGGTGACGAATACATGCTTGAACTCGGTATGTGTACAAACTCTCTTCCAAATGGGCTTAAAATAAAGCAAGGTCATCATGTGAGCTGGAAGCTAGCCTAAGTTGCAGAGATAAATGAACATAACGTAAAAACCACAGACTCTCTTCATGAAACCTAAACACACGTGTCAACAGTAAAAGCTGAGTGCTACAGCAATGGCCCAGAGGGTAAGAGCACTGGCAGATCTTCCAGAGGACCCTGGTTCGATTCTCAGCACCCATGTTAGCTCACAATCCTCTATAACCCCAGTTCCCAGGGATCTGATACCTTCTTCTTCTTGAGGATTGTATGCATGTGATACACAGACAGACATTCAGGGAGAACACTCAAATATCTTTAATTCATTAATTCTCAAAAATTAAAAGTAAAACCTGAGAAGCCTTGCCCACAAGCACTCCTCATAAAAAAAAAAAAAGTCGCAATTCTATCAATTAGACAAATTGTATGTCCAGATAAACTGGACAAGAAATCAAGGATAAAGTACGAGAATGCACAGTGAAATAGTCAACTCATGAAAGAGGTTGGAACCCGGGCACCGTGGCCCGGACCTGGGATCCCAGCCCACAGGAGGCCGAGGAGCACTGTCTCAGGACAGTCTGTCTCGGAGGGGCTCCTTTCCCTTCCCACAGCCTCCTAACTTCCAGTCTTTCTACCCTGCTTCAGGACGAATGAGATGTGAAAGGCAACAGCAGTGCTTAGAGGTAATTCCATGAGACACTTCTAGTAGAATACAACACTTTAAAGTCAACAGGGATTTATCTTGTTCTACAGAGTCCGAAAAGGCAGCAAGTGGGAAGGAAATGTAATACAAGAAATTAAAAATTAAGAAATCAATAAACCAGATGCTAAATCACTAAAAACATTAATATATACATATATGTATACACACATACACAAATACATACAAACCCATATATACACACATACATACTTACATACACATATGTTACATTAATATGTATTATATAAGTTATATAATTAACTATATAACTATGATTTATATAATTATATGTAATCGATACAGCAATACATTAATAAAGCATATATGTATCTATACATATGTGTACATATTAAACATATATGAATATGTGGGAGAAAACACAAAGTGATGGCTGGAAGCAGTAACACACAGAGTGTCACTTATGGGAGTTTCCCTAAGGGACCTTGGAGCCATTTTTCTGGTAGATTTTCCAGTGTTTGGTTTCGATGCTATCTCAAGCCAGGCTCAAGACAGGTATTTGGGGGACCTGGCAGCATAGAGGGACTCAACCACAAGTCACTGTGGCACACACCTACCACCCCAGAGCCCCAAGGCCAGTCTCAGCTACATACTGAGGAGTTTGAGCCTAGTTCAGATTAAATAAGACTTCATCTCAAAACCCAAAGCAACAGCAAACTAAAGACAGAACTCCTGTTTCTGCTGGTGGGGACAAGAACGGCACAGCCAACTGCTGGGGCACAGAATGGCAGGCTCTCAAACTAAACACAACACAACTGTTGCCCATATCCACTTGGGGGTATACAGAGTCACTGGAAGGAGGAGATAAACAAAGGTCTATGCATTAATCTTCACATCAGCATTATCCACAATAACGGAAGCTGGAATGGCTCAAAAACCCTCCGACAAACAGATAACAACCTGTGGAACACACAGGTGAGGGAAAATTATTCAGCCTTAAAGAGGAAGAAAATTCATGTGTGATTGGATTTTTTTATCCCCCCAAAAAAAATATTTTTAGTTTATTTATAATTTATTCTTCAAATTACCTCACTCCAACTAATAGTTTATAAAGTTTGTTTTAAACTATACTGATGGTTTAAAAATGGGAAGAACATGACAACAAAGACTCTAGGGGGGGAAATCCTGCTGTGGGGGACAAGATAAATAAATCTTGAAGATATTTTAATAAATAAAATAAGCCAGATATGAAAGCGATCCCCTCTCCATGAGTAGCCTAGAGTAGTCAGACTCACAGCACAAAGGAGACAGTGGTCTCCAGGGACGTAAGGCTGGAGAAAGGGGGACAGTGGAGACTAGGGATAAACTTTCAAGTGAGCAACGGTTCATCTGTCTCTGCACTACGTCCCCAAAGTGACACACTGCCTGCCACAGGGCAGATGCACAACAGAATGCCCATCCAGTGGTGAGGTCGAGGCCAGAGGACCTGGGGAGAGACGGAAGGAGTCTGACACGAATGTCTATCAGGCTCACAATGTTGCTTTATTCTCTAAGAATCATAAATTAAGCCTGCTGTTTTCTCAAGAGAGGAGTATTGTCAGGGATCAACTTTAACAATCTAAAGCTTTCAGTGGTTACAGTTCAAGCGCTATAGTAAGAAGTCAAAAGCAACTCCTGGAGAACATCCCTGGTGGTTCTTTCTCTCCCTGACACACAAGGCTGTAAGTGGTGTCTTCTGCGCTGCTCCAGCCCCAGCCTCAGCAGCTTCTGGAGTTCAGTGTGAGGGTAGAACGCACCAGGCTGCTCCAGGTAAGGACCACAGGACATGTGCTTCCCGGGCTGTTCCAGGTAAGGACCACGGGACGCGTGCTTCCACTCTCTTCTCATACTCCAGACAGATCAATAACCCTGCCCGGACCACTGCAGTGGGAAGTGAAGTTCCCAAACAAAGGACAGAAGAAAGGAAGGGAGGGGGAGGAAGCTGCACATGTGGTGCCGAGTCTACAAGGCTAAATAAACCTCAAGATTAAGGAGTGTTAAAATGTTACAACCAGAGCTAAATTATCTCAGCTATTCTTAGTCCCTTTGAAAGCCATCCATTGTCCACACCTAATCTGACCTAAGATCCTCGTGACTATCAAAACTTTGAAACTTATTAGCTGACCACTAACCCTACACTTAGGAATGTCACTAGGTCACAAACCTACCTCAGTTGTCTTGCCTAGCTGTTGCCTAAACACCTGTGGCCCCACCAATGTATTTATCTACAGCTTTGTTTGTTCTGCAACTACAAGAATCTTGGGTAAGCACTACCACAGTGGAGTGCACTGTGGGAAACCTGAGTCTGTGTTTTCAGGCCCTGGTGGGTCATTTGGCTCCAGAAAACAATGGCCTCTTCCTCTCTTTGAGCTGAGAGCTGTGTTTTTGCCTTGATAGTCTTCTGGTCAAAGGCTTGTGACAGAACCAGCTACATGCCAAGAGTGGGGCCACAAACCGTTACCACCACCACTGCCACCATTATTACCGCTTTCACCCTCTAGATGTAATGAGCTAAATATAAATACTATTATTGAAAACAGTTTTTGCTGAGGTTTGGTCTGTTGCTATGTATTGTTAATGCTAAATACAGGCCCCCAGGGTATGGTTGTCACTAAGGGAAAGGAAATCTTCATGTACACCAAGTGATGCTATGTAACTGTGGTGGTTTGAATACGCTTGGCCCAGACAGTGGCACTATTTGGAGGTGTGGTCTCGTTGGAGTAGGTATAGCCTTATTGGAGGAAGTCTGTCACTGTGCGTGTGAGCTTTAAGAACCTCGTCCTGGCCAGGCAGCGGTGGCGCACACCTTTAATCCCAACACTTAGGAGGTAGAGGCAGGCAGATTTCTGAGTTTGAGACCAGCCTAGTCTACAGAGTGAGTTCCAGGACATCCAGGGCTATAGAGAAAAACCCTGCCTCAAAAAAAAAAAAAAAAAAAAAAAAAACATAATAATAATGATGATAATGATGATGATAATAATAATAATAGAAAAAACTTTAAAAATTAAAAAACAACAACAACAACAACTACATCCTAGCTCCCTGGAAGCCAGTCTTCTCCTTGTGGCCTTCAAATGAAGATGTAGAACTCTCAGCACCTCCTGTACCATGCCTGCCTAGATGCTGCCATGTTCCCACCTTGATAATAATGGACTGAACCTCTGGACCTGTAAGCCATCCCCAATTAAATGTTGTCCTTATATGAGTTGCCTTGGCCATGGTGTCTGTTCACAGCAGTAAAACCCTAACTAAGAAAGAAATTGGTACCAGGAGTGGGGTATTTGCTGTGGTAGGCCTGACCTTGATTTTGTTGGAATAATGTGGATTTGGGGATTTTAGATTTGGAAAGCAGTGGGATGCTTTAAGTTGAGCTTACTGGGCCGACCTAGAAGGAATATGGAAGACTTTGTTACTGAGATTGATTTGAACTGTGGAAGCTTGGCTCTAGAGGAAAAGAATTTTAGCTGGGCAGTGGTGGCACATACCTTTAATTCCAGCACTTGAGAGGCAGAGGCAGGCGGATTTCTGAGTTTGAGGCCAGCCTGGTCTACAGAGTGAGTTCCAGGACAGCCAGGGCTACACAGAGAAACCCTGTCTCGAAAATCAAAAGAGAGAGAGAGAGAGAGAGAGAGAGAGAGAGAGAGAGAGAGAGAGAGAGAGAGACTGACTCTGAGACTATTCTTAGGATATTTTGGTTAAGTAGTTGGTGCTTTTTGCCCTTGTCCAAACAGTCCGCCTGAGGCTCAGGTGAAGAGAGTCAAATTAATTGCACTAACAAAGGAGGTCTCGAAACAATCCAGTTTAGACTGTGCTGTGGTTTAGTCTCATGAAGAGCGTTATAAAGAAGTATAGCAAGCTTAGAAAGAAAAAATACAGAATGAGTGGTTTAAATAATAAAGGGGCACCAGGAAGTGAGATGGAGTTGAGTCCTGTGTTCAAGGAGATAATGACATTAATGGAGTGGTGCTCTCAGGGCAAGATCCCACCCAGCTAAGCTTATTGTTTGTGTTTGCAGTTGAACAAGGAATAGTTTGGACTTTTAATCTGGAATGAACTATAATCCAGAAATAGAGGGCACACCTGTGATCTAGACCTTGAGGTGGGAAGACACAGACTTTTGATCCAGATCTTAAGAAACAGTGGCAATGAAAAGCTTAGGCCCAGGAATGCTGGTAAACATCTTTAATCCCAGGAGACAAAATCAACCAGATCTCTGAGTTCAAGGCCAGCCTGGGACAGAGCAAGTTCTAGGTGAAGAAAAGCTTAAATACAGATGTGGTGGTGCACACCTTTAATCCCAGCATTAAAGAGCCATACAGATCTCTAAATTCAAGGTCAATATACATAGACAGTTTCAGGACAGCCAAGCTTAGGCAGTGAGGGAATTGGAAAACAGAAAGCTGGTAATAGAATAAGGTGGGGCACATGTTCCAGCCCCAGCAAGCAGCAGAACTTGGGAGCTTCAGCCACATGGCTCTGGCTTTAGAGTCCAGAATAAAAGGGATTACTGGGACAATTAATGCTGGTTAGCTGGAGCTAAGAAATTAGTGGTGATTAAGAAGAGACCAGCATCACTGAGGTAAAATCTTCTGGGAAGTGTTTTCTGAGAGCACAGAGAAACTAGGTTCCAGAGAGCCAAGGTTGTACCTTGTGCAGCAGTTGAACTTGGTAATGTGTAAGAGTCACCCAGGTGGTACTGGTTTTGAAAGCATGAAGGGGTCATGGAGAGCAGCTGAGGCTTGGCACTGTGAGAGAGCAGGGAAAGCCATTGGTGAAGGTGCAGACTCAGTTGCAATTGATGTCCCAGGACTGAGGGGTTATGGGAAGAAGCTGAGGCTTGGTGCCATGAAGGGAGCCTATGAGAGGCTATTGGTAAAGCCTAGTTGCAGCAGAGACTCCAGTGTATTGGAGATGCCTGCACCATGGGATGACCACCAAGAACAACAATAGTGGCATGGAGTCAACCAGAGCCTAGAGTGCTACAGAGGGCAGAGCTGGAGAAGTGACACAGTCCTTTGGAGGGGCCCAGAAGATCATGTGTGGATCCCAGACATTGAAACAAGAAGCTGTGAAGTTGAAGTTTACTTGAAGAACCCAAGATGTTCGAGATGCCAGAGCCGTGGGTTATCTACTGAGGAAAGCTGCTAACGGGATAGAAACGGCCCAGGAAAGAAGTCTGTTGCAGTCAACAAAAATGAAAAAGGAGCCGGAGATCTGAAGAATGCTTTGACATCAACCATGGAGGTGCAGAGCTTGGAGTTTGCCCAGCTGGTTTCCTGTCTTGCTTTGGAGGTTACAGTTAAGTGACTGGATGAATCTCAGAAGAGACTTTGAACACTGGATTTTTAACACTGTTGAGACTGCTGTAGACTATGGGGACTTTTGAGGTCGGACTAAATGCATTTTGCGCTATGCTATGGCTAGGTATGGCCCCATAGACTCAGGTATTTGAAAAAAACCTGTGGGGGCCAGGGAGTGAAATGTGGTGGTTGTCCCAGAGAATGGCACTATTAGAAGGTGTGGCCTTGTTGGAGTAGGTGTGTCACTGTGGGTGTGGGCTTTAGGACCCTCATCCTAGCTGCCTGGAAGCCAGTCTTCTAGCAGCCTTCAGATGAAGATGTAGAACCCTCAGCTTCTCCTGTACCATGCACCTCCCTAGATGCTGCCATGATCCTGCCTTGATGATAATGGACTGAACCTCTGAACCTGTAAGCCAGCCCCAATTAAATGTTGTCCTTATAAGAGTCGCCTTGGTCATGGTGTCTGTTCACAGCAGTAAAACCCTAACTAAGACAGTAACCTTGTTCCTTAATTTAAAACTATTGGTTAAATAAAGATGCCTACAGCCTATAGCTGGGCTGAAGAGAGGTAGGCGGTGTTTTGATCCCTGGACTTGGGGTCTGAGGAGGACCATGAGGGGTAAAAGAAGAGGGTGAAGAGAGGAGAAAACACCACGGAGTGGGTGAGTCATGAAGTCACGGCCACGAGGGCTGGCCAGCGGAATCAGGAGCAGCCCAGATGGAGCATGTCAGCCGTAACTCAGGTTACTGGAGGGAAGTAGACACTAATAGCTTACAGGGTAGATACGTGCCCAGCTCCAATGCTTTAAAGGCCTATTATAAATATAAAGGTTTTGTGTCTTTTATCTGGGAACTGAATGACCAAAGTGTAGAAAACCCTGACTGAGAATAAAATATACTACAACAGGTTTTCTTGAAGGTTGGACTACAATATTAATCCAGCCACTTAAATACCGACCCTGTGGAAGTCCCTGTATGTAGGACCCACCACCAAGTCCCTCATTTCTACCATCTATGAGTAAAGAGTACACTCCACCGGGCACACAGAGCACAAGACAGTGGCAAAATAACCGGTAGCAAGCGGGGTTAGGAAGCAGATACCCTCCTTCCCAGTGAACCTCCTTAGACTTGGCAGCTGATCCTCAAGTCCAAATGGGAGAGAGAAGAGTAAGAGTTTATTAGGGAGACGTTCTGAGACTGTTTCCAGCCAGAGAGCCCCCCCCAAACGAGAACTTGACACTTTTTATTACTACCCTTTTCTGAGTATTCTAAACTGGCTCTGACCAGCAAAAGTTATCTCACTTCCTAGCTCAAGGTTGGTTTCTCTTCCCCTCTGTATTATAAAGGCATTTTAACCAGCAGTTATGTGCTCCAGCCTGCATTGAACAGCCAAGATCATATTTATACTCTCTCTGTCTCTCTGTCTCTGTCTCTGTCTCTCTCTCTCTCTGTCTCTCTCTCTCTCTCTCTGTCTCTCTCTCTCTCTGTCTCTCTGTCTCTCTCTCTCTCTTTCTCTCTCTGTTTTGCCCTCTCTCCCTTCTTCCTTCTTTTTTTTTTTTTTTTGTTTGAGACAAGGCCTTACAACATAGCCCAGGCTAGCCTCAAGCTCATGCTCCTCCTGCCTCAGCCTCCTTCATGGCAGTTTTTTCATGACCCCTGATGCATTGTTCATAGTGCATCTGGGTCCAATCAGACAGTCCCAGAACCTTCACCGTCTTGTTTGTCAGGCCCTCTGTGTCAGTCTTTACCAACCATCTCTGTTTACGGTTCAGTGGCTAAGGTAACAGGAACCACAAAGAGCAGATCTTTTGAATGACTGAACATGAAAGGGAATGTTCAAGAACTGTGATGTTCTCCCAGAGAACAAGAGTCGGCCAGAGCGAGGGCCCTGAGCAGTGCCCCAGGCACAGAACACTGCCAGCACCCGATGGGGGTTGGGGGAGGCCGCCCCAGGCACCCCCAGGCACAGAACACTGCCAGCACTCTATGCAGGGTGGGAGGAGCACCACACGTCTGGAAACTGCTGACACTGAGGCCCTAATGGTGTCTACTAACTAACGTAAGGGAAACTGCAGGGTGATGCTGAGGCAGGAGGACCACTTGAGTTCATCAGACCCTGCTTCAGGGGTTCTGGGAGACAACAGTAATAACCAGGTCATTACTCTAAAGCTTAGATCAGGGATAGAAATATGTGTGGAAATTAAAAAGGAAACAGGAATGAACTCCTTTTAAACCGAGGCAGGCTTAGAGGACAGCGCTGGAGTGAGACGCTGGCTGTCTGTCAACTACAGATGACTTCCGTCCTATGGGTCACCCAGTGTAAGTGTGTTTACAGTCTTGTGCGACACTGCTTCTGCCTTTAACTGCAGCCCCAGCCTATGAGCATCAATGGCAGAAGCTGAGGTGGCTGTCCCTCTCTCTCACGTCAAACTCCTCATCCTGTTCCCCTCTGGTCTGGGACTGAGAGGTGTGGACACAGAAGTTTTTATCCCCGAGGGAAAGCTGCAGAACCTGGCCCACCCAACACTTATTTAACACTTACCAACATCTCCATAAACATACAGGCCCTTTGGAGGTTTGTTCCTTGAAAAAAGCTGCAAATTAAGAACAAATTACAAATTTTCTACCATGCAAATAATTACATATAATCATATATACATAATGTTCCCAACTGTGCTATATATAGGACATCAAGGGGACAATTATATACGACAAGTAGAAAAAAACTTGGTGTGAAAGTCTGCAAAGCCAAAACATTATGCAGCCTTTAACAGGGAGGTATTCTTGATAGATCCCCAACACAGATAAATCTTGAGGACATGGTATTGGTAAAAATAAGCTAGTCAAATAAAGATAAAATACTTCTGACCCGTGTTACCAGGGTGGAGCAGAGGCAAGGAGTCACTGTTCAGAGGATACAGCATCCCATTTGTGTAACATGAAGAGATGGGTAGGAGTAATACAGAAAACTACGTCCACATTTATTACCACTGAGCTGTGTAATGAGAAGGGCTTAAGATGGCTAGCATGTCAGACACCTGTAATCCCAGCACACAAGAGGCTGAGGCAGGAGGATATCACGACTATACAGCCAGACCTGTGCTTTAAAGGGCAAAACCTGAAAGAAAGCATGAATCCAACCCATAACAGTCTTGTTTCTGTCGTATAGCCCATGGGCTCACCCACCTCCACTAAATCCATCTCCAGATGCAGACCACACCCTGGTACAGGCCAGGCAAGCCAGTCTTCTCCACTTGGATTCCAACATGTGCACAGCTTCCCTGTGTCTCCTCTAAGTCACTACTCTTTGAAAACAGACTCCCACCTGCCAACACCTAAGGTTTGCTTTCTTTCTTTTTTGTGTGAAACATTGTGTCACACGGTTTTCAACTTATCAACAAAAAAAGGATTACACCCTTAAACAATTTTAAAACAATGTCATATTTGAAACCTAAGATAAAACCTAAAAAATTCTCTAAATGTATGTTTGCAATGTTAGAAATCCCCCCCCCTCTGTGTGTGTGTGTGTGTGTGTGTGTGTGTGTGTGTGTGTGTGTGTGTATCCCCCTTTCTCTCTCTCTGGTTTGGGTTTGTTTTGCTGTTGTTGTTTTTTGGAGGGGTTGCTGTTGTTGTTTTTGTTTTCCAGATAGAGTTTCTCTATGCAGCCCTGGCTGTCCTGGAACTTGCTCAGTAGACCAGGCTGGCCTCACAGAGATCTGCTTACCTCTGCCTCTTTGAAGATGGGGATTAAAGGTGTGCCCCCCACTGTCCAGCTAGAAATCTTTTGAAAGCAATTCTGTGTTAGATAACTGGGGAGTCAAGGTCTGGGTAAGTCTGCCTGTCTAGTCAGCCATCTTATGCTGTTAATACTGTTACTGGGAAACTCTCTCATGTCCGAGTTGATTGCATACTGTTATGTTCTGTGCTTTGATGCTCTTGGAAACCTACCACAAGAGGTCAGTTAGAACTGCTTTGTGTAGTTAGCCACAACAAGCTTGGACCCGAACCAACCACCCAGCAGCACTTCCCATGTCTGCATATGAGCTTTTATAAGCTGGTCCTGGGATGGACCCCAACATAAAAGAGACACCTGCACCAATGTAAAACCCCATTTGAAACAGCACTTCCATTTTGAGTAAGGATTCCAGTAAAGTTTTAAGTTCCCAAGACCTCCCTGAGAATTAATATCCTACTTGGCAGAAAAACTCATGGACTTGGGGAACTGACAACCTGGTTGGCAAGTTAAAACATGACTGATAGGCAAGGCAAGTCCCCTGCCACAGCTCAATACCCCAGCCAGCAAGAACAGGGTAAATGTACAACACAGACATGTTCCTAAGGACGCCACCTATTCCTAAATCCTGATTGGCGAAGTAACAGGTACAGATGTCTGTGGTGGCTCCTGGTCACAGTCAGCTCCCAAGTCTGGTCTGCAGCCCTGATCGATCAATCTTAGGATGAATGCTCAATAAACTATCCCTGTCTGACTGAGATCGGTGTTTGTGTGGGTTGTGGAGCAACTCCTGGATCCCAATGTGGGGGTGTTGTAATTCATAATGCTTCAAAATACGTTCTGTAAGAATAATTTTTAATGTTATTGCTGTTGTTTGGGGGTTTGTTTGTTTGTTTGTAAGACAGTATACCCTCGTATCTGCATAGCCGTGGTTGGTCTGGAACTTGCTATGGTGGCCAGACTAGCCTGGAACCTAAAGGTCTCCAGTTCTGGGATTAAAGGTATAAGCCACCACACCTGGAATAGTTTTTCTTTCTCTAGTATTTGTCAAGGCTGGCTCCCACAGCACAGCAGCAGCCATTTTGTTCCACGCCTGCCAGTCATTTCATCTTGTTACTGACACAGAAATACTGACTCAGAGCAGGGTCAGTCTGACCACATACCCTGCTATGTTCTGAGGTTTGTTAATCTTAAGAAATTCCACAACCATAAGCTCCACTTAGGACCAATTAGAATAAAGGTCAGTTAGAACTGACCTATCTAGCTAGCCAAAATAGCTTGAGTCAGAGCCGACCACTGGGCAGCACTTGCTGCACCTGCACATGAGCTCACGGTGGGTTTTGCCTTTATAAACTGGCCCTGGGAAACATTCACGGTCAAAATGTCAGTAAGCCAGCTGTGTTTGACTGAGATAGGTGTCTGGGTGATTTGTGTGGCAATGCTCAGACCTCAGCAGTACTGTTCACGTGATGCTATCAACACACATTAAGTAAACAAAATTCAAGTTAGAAGAAACAACAAAGTTGGAAGGAGGGTTTCAGTGGGGCTCAGCGTTTCTAGCAAACGTAGCGTTGAGGATGGGATGAACATCTCAGTGACAGAATGCTTGCTAGCAAATGTAATGGCTGGGACTCCATGCTCAGTACTTCAGGAAGAAGCACTTATGGGTCCGTCTTCTTTTTTTTCCTTCCTATTCAATAATCCAATATGTTTTAGAAAGAGTGCCTGTCAGATTTTTGTATGCTACATGTACAGTTTATGTAACATTGCTTTATATATTTTAAAATATACTTTATTAGTTTTTGGTTTTTTTTTTTTTTTTTTTTTTTTTGGTTTTTCGAGACAGGGTTTCTCTGTATAGCCCGGGCTGTCCTGGAACTCACTCTGTAGACCAGGCTGGCCTCGAACTCAGAAATCCGCCTGCCTCTGCCTCCCGAGTGCTGGGATTAAAGGCGTGCGCCACCACCGCCCGGCCACTTTATTAGTTTTTTGAAAATTCATATTTACTTCCCATTCCTCCTCTTAAAGTAAATTAAATTTGGGCTTGGCTTGGAATTTTTAGGGGGCAAGTGTGGGAGGAGCTAAGGTGGGAGGAGTTAGGAGAGGAAGAGGAGGAGTAAGGAAGAGGAGGAAAAGGAAGAGGAGGAGCTAGGGGAGACAGAGAGAGAGAGAGAGAGATTAGGAAGAGATGGAGGCGGATGTTCACGTGTCTGTAGCAGTCAAATGTAGTCTAGGTTGGGTGTTGGGTTACACTTCTGATTGTATGGGTATCTTGTTACTGATCATTAACAAATATATAAACCTTTGATTAATCTTTAAGCATTAGAGTCTCATCTTTCTACTGGGCCTTCGAGAATGGCAGGATGGTCTGGGCAATGCCCAGCCTTGCGGAGACAGCATGGAAGATTGGCAGAGCCATCTCCCACGCTGGCGTCTTGTGGGTGGCAGGGCTGGTGTTTCCAGCTGGCCGGTTCTAGCTGCTGCGTGCACATGGCTTCCAGCTGTGAAACATGGCGGCTGAGCTAGGCAGAGCAGCAGCAGCTTAGCTAGTCGGCCTGAACCAGTGGCCAATTTTAAATAATTACTACAACAGGCAAGGATGTTTTGGGTCTTGAGAGAGGGTTTTACTATATAGGCCTGGTTGACCTGGAACTCTCCGTGTAGACCAAGATGGCCTTAAAATCACAAAGATCTACCTGCCTTTGCCTCTGAGTACTGGGACTAAGGACCCGTAGCATGACGCCAGTCCTTATATTAGACCTTATATGTTTTTAAATGATATCCATAACAATCTTAGCACTTGGAACCTCAAGCAAGAGGATCCAAAGTTCAAAGCCAGACTGGGCTACTTGTCTCAAAACAACTAAGGATGAAATATAGCTATTTGGTAGACCTTTGCCCATTTACATGGCCCTAGATTTAATCCCAGCCCTGCCCCCCTTCCTCCCCCCAAAAAAGCTGATAACAAATACGGAAGTTCTGACTACTTAATTTAAAACCTGGATACTGGGAGCAACATGCTTTAATCACAGAACCCAGGAGGCAGAAGCAGACTGATCTCTGTGAGTTTGAAGCCAGTTTGGTCTACAAAGCTAGTTCTGGGACAGCCAGGGCTGTTACACAGAGAAACCCTGTCTCAAAAACCAAAATTAATTAAATTAAAAATAAAACCTGATAGCCGGGCGGTGGTGGCGCACGCCTTTAATCCCAGCACTTGGGAGGCAGAGGCAGGCAGATTTCTGAGTTCGAGACCAGCCTGGTCTACAGAGTGAGTTCCAGGACAGCCAGGGCTACACAGAGAAACCCTGTCTCGAAAAGCCAAAAAGATAAATAAATAAATAAATAAATAAATAAATAAATAAATAAATAAATAAATAAAACAAACCTGGATACCATCAACCAATAAAGGTTAAGCATAGGCTATGTAAATGACATTCAAATTTTTATTGCAGTTATGTATTTCTGTGTATGTAAGCAGAGGGGTATGTGCATTTCACAGCATTTATGTCGATGACAGAGGACAACTTTTGAGAGTCAGTTCTCCCTGTCCACCATGTGAGTCCCAGAGATCAAACTCAGGTCATGGAGCTTGGCAGCCAGTAAATCTACCCACTGAGCTCTCCCACAGGCCTGTTAGATGATGCCACACACAACAGTCTACAGTCTCCTCAGGAAGCATGGTCCTTCTGGACCTCTATGCTTCTACTATCCTGAGCCCCATACATGCCAGACTTCCTATATAGACTTACTGAAAAGATATTAGCTATAACAGCCAATAATAAAAACATAAAGACATACTATAATGAAACCATTTAAGACTTGCATGGTGGAGTGAGGGTACTGGAGAGATGTTTAGAGGGT